GCCGAGGGGGCGGTAGCTACCCCTCTGGTTCTCTGGGCGCCGGGGGGCACCGGGGCGGTGCGGCCACCATACCTGTGGCACAGAGGGCAACGAAGGTCTGGGCGTGTTTGCGGATGATCTGTTTGTTCTCCTCCGCCTCAGGCATTTTGGAAAGGAAGTGCTCAATGAAATCGTGAGGGGTCATGGCGGCCAGGTTCCACTTGAGCTTGTTCACCAGGAGCAGCTCCATTTGCTGTGGAGACCAGGAATAAACATAAGGAGAGAGGCAGGGCCAGTCACTCTGGGCCCCTTTGGGGGCAGGGATAGGAGGGGGCCTGGTGAGAGGGGACACCCCGGTTCAGGTCACTGGCCTCTGCTTTTAGTTTGTAGTTTTGGAGGTGAGAGAGGAAGGGGATGAATGTTGGGGTATGCAGAGAGTGGGAGCAGCACGCGACCCCAGATCACAACAGCAAAGGGGCTGCCCAGAAGGCTCCAATTCCCGTCATTAAGCGGTGGGTCTCCACGTGGAGACAAAGACCTCCCACCACCTGGAAACCAAGGCCTAAGCAATCAGCGCGGCGGTCCTCGTGCAGTCGCTAGAGGGCGCGCGCCGCCCGCTTTTCGGCCACGCTGCCGGGCGCAAACGTGGTGGGCTTCCGAGTGTGTGCTGGGGGAATCAGAGATGGGGGGGTGGCTGGGATTCTGCTGGCTTCTCGAAGAGGGGCTTCGAGCAGTGTGGCCGCCTTCCCTCGCGGCATATCTGTCAGTGGCGGGTCGGGGCCTTCTGCACCTCCCCCACCCCTTGGGTCCTGTGGCTAATGGAGTGCCTGTGGGCGATGGGGAGGGGGATCCCACAGTTACCAGTAGCTCCTCCGGCCGGATGGAATTGTCAGTGTAGATGCACAACTTCTCAGCCGTCAGGGGGATGGTCTCCTTCATCTTAGAAGCCACGAACATGCAGGTGGCCCCCAGCAGCTGCAGGCGGCTCTTCTTCACCGGCTCCAGCGACAGGAAGCGGTCCAGGTAGTTCATGGCCAGCGGGAAGACCTCTTCCTCGCACTTCTGCTCCTCGCAGACCTGCGGGGACACAGGGGGCCGTGACTGCCACCGCCAAAGGCCGACCGCTGCGACCCACCACTTCGACCCCGCTTATGCCGGCGCTGCCAGTCTCCAGGCTATGCTGGCT